ACTTGCGAAAACTCCGCGATACGGTCTCTTCGTCGTTAGCCGCGCTAAAGAATCTCGATCGTCCGGTAGATGAATGGGACGATCTTCTCGTTCATCTTATTGTTCAAAAGTTTAGTCCTCGCACTCGCAGCGAATGGAATTTGAAACGCACGGAATTCGCCAAGCTTCCGTCTTACAAGGATATTAATGACTTTCTGACTCTACGCATTTGCGGACTATCCGATCATTCCGATTCGCCGAATCCGAAGGATACTCGTCGTTACAAAGACGATAAGTCGCGCTCGTCGGTTAATAACGTCACCGCAAACAAATGCGTTAGATGCTCCGGCAATCATTCCGTTTCGAGATGTAAAGAGTTTCTTGATAAGACGGTTGAGCAGCGCGGCGATTTCGCGCGTCAGAGCAGGCTTTGCCTCAATTGTCTGAGATCCGGGCATTTCCTTCAGCAATGCCCGAGCAAATCTCGATGTTCGCACTGTAGTCGTTCGCATCACTCGTTACTACATTACTCAAATAATGTTAAGGCCGATGCTACGGCAAATTCTTCGAAGATAAGAGCGGAAGCACAACCGTTCACTCCGACGGCGTCAAACGCGCCCGTCGCTGCGAGCAGCAATCACGTCGCAAACACACGGACCATCAAACGCGCCCGTCGCTGCGAGCAGCAATCACGTCGCGAACACACGGACCGGTCCCCCCGCGGATACGGTTCCTTCGAACGTCCTCTTGGCAACCGCATGGGTTGACACGACCGAAGGCCGAAGCTTTAAAGTCCGCGTCTTACTGGATCAAGGATCCACCTTTAGTTTCATATCGCAATCGCTCTGTCAGACGTTGCGTACAAAGCGACAACGCTCCAATTTGAAAGTAACGTGTTTCGGCGAGAAATTTACAGGCGTCGCGAGATCTCGCGTCGTGCTGACCTTAAAGCCGTGTTCCAGTGCGGAACCGGGCTTCCCGTTGCACGCCTACGTGTTTCAAAGTATTATTACTTCGTACGCCGCGTCATTAAGCCGTGTTCCAGTGCGGAACCGGGCTTCCCGTTGCACGCCTACGTGTTTCAAAGTATTACTTTGTACGCCGCGTCACGGACTCAGCCCGTCGAATCGTGGCCTCACTTGCAAGGCATCTCGTTTACCGATCCCGATCCTTCAAGTCGACATCAGATTCACTTACTAATGTGATTCACTTACTAATCGGTGCCGACTTGTACGGTTCTTTGTTAAAAAATGGCCTCCGGCAAGGCTCTATTGGAACGCCTACCGCTCAATTGACAGCGTTAGGCTGGATTTTCTCCGGCCCCACGGGTCGCGGCCGGATTGAATCCGCGAATATTGGCGTCTGTCATAACGTGTCTACGCACGACACGAATTCGCTTCTCAGGCGATTTTGGGAGGACGAGGAGGTCTCACGCCCCCCTCCACTTACCGACGAGGAGGAGCGTTGCGAACAACACTTCTTCGCCACTCATAGCCGTTCTCCAGAAGGACAGTACATCGTTCGATTGCCCTTCAGGCACGAACTACCTATCGACATAGGCGAGTCACTGCCTATCGCAACAGTGTTTTACGAGAAAATGGAGAGGAAGCTGCGTCGGCACGCCGAACTCTCCACGCAGTACAACGACTTTTTGGCGGAATATCTTGCCTTGGGCCATATGAGCTCGATCGAAAGTCCCCGCGACACCGCTCTTACGCCCGTGTACATTCCGCATCACTCGGTTTTACGCGAAACGAGTAGTACCACGAAGTTACGCGTCGTTTTTAACGCCTCGTGCAAAACGACGAACGGCACGTCGCTTAACGACCATCTGCTGGTCGGACCGAAGTTACAGCAGGATCTCCCCGCTATTCTGCTGCGCTGGCGGCAGTGGCGTTTTGTTTATCCGGAACATCTTGGCGGACATCGCCAAGATGTTCCGGCAAATCCCCGTAAATAATCTCGATACCGACTTCCAACGAATTCTCTGGCGTCCG